ATAAACTTTGACAAAAAGGGCCCGATTACAAAAAAAAAAAAAAAGAGTATTTCAAGAGCACTAGATCTGCTTCTGTGAAGCCAACAGGTGCTTACAATCGATAAAATAAAATAAAAAATCAATAGAAAGAGCTTGAGTGTAATACGAACCAATCGTTGGTAGAATATTAATAAATTTTATGATACTGGAAAAAAAACTATAACCGCAATAAAAGTAATTTACTAAGAATTCTTCAGAATTATTTGTTGGCCATCTTAATGGACCAAATTAAATTAATTATCGCGTGAAACACTGTCAATAATTAACATACAATTATGTACATTATTATGTTGGATTATTGCAATAACTAGCCAATAACAGTAATGGTGTAAGTATTTCACAAAATAATTAATTTATTCGGATCCATTCTAGAATAAACTGATGATGGTCTGACAGCCGAAACGTAATCTGACGAGATGAAAAAATGACTTTGCAACAATCTGTAAGAAGTTTTAGAAGAATTAAACACAATCGCGAACTATTCTAGATTTTCATTTTAGGCGTTCTAATTAATTCATTATATTACTTATAAAATCAGAAATAGTTGATATCCATACGATAAAGTAATTTTAGAAACTCAATGGACATAAGAGATAGAGATATGGTGCTCAGTCAAAAATCCTTCTTCTTCTTTTGCATCACCCTGTAGTGCCTTTCAGCGTAGGGGAACGTCTAACCAGGATTGCCAATTTTCCCTGATTCTTGCAAGATTTCTGAGCGTATATTTTTATTTCTATTTTTGCATAGGCTGTCTACGTATTCGAGGTACGACATTCTCGGTCTGCCGCGGGGTCTTCTGCCATTGGGGACGTAGTCCATAGACTTTAATGGATCTCTGTGTTCTTCCATCCTGATGACATGCCCAAACCACTTAAGCTGCCGAGTCTTTAGGACATCCTTCATCGGGGGAAACCCCAATTCCTCCCTGATTCTCTCGTTGCGAATGCAGTCCCGTCTCGTTTTCCCTGCGATCCTTCGGAGAAACCTCATTTCTGCAGCAGTGATTTTTCTCTCAAGTTTGTCAGTCAGCAGCCAGCTTTCTGCACCGTACGGGAGTATAGGCAAGTATACTGCCTTAAATATGTGCAGTTTTACACCTCTGTTCACTTCTCTCTTTCCGATCACAGTATTGCAGATCTGGTAATATATAGCGTTTGCTTTGCTGATCAATAATTCAAATAATTAAATCCTTTCAACGAGAAATAATTGGAGCTCCATTTTTTAAAAAGACTTATTACAAAACGATTTCTACACATAATAAAGACATACGCAGTCACAAAAAAATCATCTAAACACTACACATGTACCCTTTAAACATAACAATAAAAACCACTACGAACCTAAATACACAATATGAGGTAGTATTTATAGCAGGATGTTAACGTTTCCTTATTGCAAATAGCAAATTAATTGTTACACTTTTATAATAATTCGTGTCTTCATAATTAAGTTAACTTACAACTTGAGAGCCAGGGTGTGCACGCGTGTGCACAGCACCGCACGGTCTCCGACAACCAGATAACTGAAGTTATAAAAGACAAATTAAGAACGAGTTAGCGTTCCGGTGACGGATAGGGGGAGGGTTTTTAACTCGGGCATTAATCCCTCGCCCTGGAAAACCTCGTATAGCCTAAAAGGCGATAAAGGGGAGAACAAAAAAAAAAATCAACTAACATAAGAAATTTCTTCGATCTCTTAAGTTCTGGCGGTAATACAATAAGATTAAGTACTGGCTTCCCTACTATATATCGCAAATACTCACTAACCTCATACACTACCTTGGAATTACAATTGACAGAATAATGACGTAGGACGCATATGTTAAAATGAAAGGTAAGACCCATAATAGTCGATTCAAACCACTTTTTTTTTTCAAAAGGTTCTTAACATACTTATACGTACTTAAACCTATATGGACGTACCAATTACCTTACCGTTCTACGAAATATGTAGCTAAAAAGACCAATATTACGACTCACACATTGGTATTACAAAGCTACTTGGTGCAAAACCGTACATACTAACTCCTACCAACCAAAAATGGCCCAACACATAAGGTCTAGGGCCATCCGTTAAGGTCTCTTTAACAACCGTTTCATACTTACTCAGATATGCTAACAAACTAATAACATACATAGGCTTAACTCACACGTCCTAACACGAGAGTAGACTAAAACTGACCAACTGAAGGCCAACTGAATCAAGCAAGGGAAGTGGTATTTCTAACTAGTTATTGAATCATCATTGTTATCATATTTTAATAATAATAATTTATGGATAAGACGCTAATGACCTAGATTTTTGCGCCTACAACATCAAAACAACTATCCAAACAACCAATCATTATTATTATTTTATTTTAGTTATTGCTCGGTGGTTTTCTTCTCTATGATTGAGATGCAATTTTCCTCATTACTTCCATCAGACCATTTCTGATTGTCAACGTTGATAAGTGCTGTTTAATATTTGAAAATTTAAAAAAAAACATAAATCAATGGAATATATATATATTTAATATATATATATATATATATATATATATATATATATATATATATATGTGTGTGTGTGTGTGTGTGTGTGTGTGTGTGTGTTTTAAACTGCTAACAGTTCATTTATAACAAATTAATTACCTACCGTTAGTATCCTAAAAGCAAAATAAAGGTTACGATGTGAAGGATTTTTCCTGTAAAACAACATTGACTAACATAAAAGAAAAGGGGCAGACTTTGATGACGATGGAGGCATTACACAAGACTGACAGACAATGGAGAGAGCGACTGACAGTGCTGATTGTTCAAAGCTTCATCTTCCATCTCTTTGTCGGAGGTGGTCTTTAACCGGAGGCAGTCATACGATATCACCGCCATTAGGAAAACATTAATATCTATTTCAAAGTAAAAAAAAAAAAAAATGTTTATTGCATTTAACCATATTTTATAATGAGCAGTAATAATTAAATAGCGGTCCACAATATATTAATCTAATTTCACTTTAAGCGAGCAATCAGCAACCCGGGTATGAAGTTAAAATAGAAATGAAAGATGCGTCGAAGGGAGGATAACTAGTAATCACACTTAAATGAGAAACGACAGAACTAATTAGTAGCGAGATATTGCAATGTCCTTCCCATAATTGGCATTAGGAGAAACTCTGGAACCAAAAATATATTTTGGATATGATGATCAAATGAGTCGGTATATATGGTGGTATCATTGAATGATACTTATAACATTTTATCAAATGACCACATTTTCAATTAGAAATTTTTTTTTAAAATAAATAAGTAGTAAAAGATTTTATTTGAAATATAAATCATAATTCCGATCTACCTTACAAAGTAGAATGTTGAAAAGAGAAAAAAAAAAAAAAAAGCCAATACATGATATAAAACTATATGACATGCAGCAAATAGCGTAAAACTCTAAGATCATCAAAGTCCAAATTTTAATTAAATTTTAATGTTTTTCTATTGGATTACTTTTTTAGTTAATGCGTGAGAACATTAAATTTATAAGATGTCTATAAATCACAGTATATTTTCAATTTTTCACCACCAATATTTCTTTAACAGCACCAGAACTCATTAAGTTCTATTGAACATCCAACGTCTTCAGCTTAAATTTTCAACTTTCAGATTCATCGTTTTCAAATCGAATACAATATAAATATTATTAATAATAAAATAATTATAATCATAATAACATGACTAAACATAAAAAACAATATGTTAATTTTGAAACCTAAACACGAGATAAGTGTAGGTTAGCTATTCTATAAGTTTGTTTCATAATTAATCAACCATATTTATAAATATATTTTATGAATAAGATAAAAATTAACTACTTCTACTAGAAATTTTACAATTTTTTAAATAAAATTTAACACTTAAATTTTAAATTTTCAAATTAATTGAAGCTCTACTCAGGAAGGCGCTTCATGTATATTATGCCGCATAACACACAATCCTGTGTCCCAGCTAATATGAACGAACTGAAAGTAGCTGTAATAAGGAACATCTTCGAAAGGAATGCACAGTCTCTTTTCGGTAAGGGTTGTATACTTGAAGAATGTTAATACAGTGACGATATGTATTTGTAGATTAATAAGAATGAGTAATTACTAAGAATGAAAAAAAAAGAGTGGCAAGTAGGTTCAAGAGCAACTGGACCAAACACAGTAACAAGGTGAAACAAGGTAAGAGACCATCTGTGTTGGGAATGTTACGAGGATATTATACACGGATTCCTTTTTCCATTTGCTCCGGGACACGGGAGCTGAAGGGACATTTTTTGTCCATGGTCCTCCGGGCCGGAGCACGACCTTTTTTCCCTTCGACTTCTCCATAGTGAATGATAATTAGGGGATTATGGGAGATGGGATGGGCCACTTATCACGGCTAACTAATTCTTCCCTAATAAAAGTCGATGAATCGATTCTTGTGATCGATCGACTGCCAGGGCGACTCAAGATCCTCTCCGCAGTTGGACATCAGGCATTATTATTCCGTTATCAATCTAGCATGACAGATAAAGGGTCGTTAATAATTTTTAACGTCTCCGAATGCCATCTGTCGGGTCCTCATGTTGGGAATAGGTAGATCAAGTGGATTGCCACTTAAGCTGGAAGAATTACAATATATTACGGCAGATGCTGAGCAGAGTAGAATAATTTGATGATCGTGAAGTAGTCTTTTTGTCTATTAGCTACAAAGTACGGTCACTTAATTTTCTTTTTAATAAATTACTCAATTCTAGGAAGGATAAAAAATTGTTGCGTTGTTGTAGGTAGTGAATGTTTTTTTTTTTTTCTCGAAATATATCACCTTACTCTTATTTTATTTTTTACGTCTACAGTGTAACAGTGTGTACCCACCCAACCCATCTTACGGTATATATACATTTGCTGTAAATAAAAAATAAATAAAATAGAAATATATAGATATATAATATAAAACTTACCTCTTAAGATCTGGTAGAGGAAGACCTTTATGTGATCCGAAGACAGGTGTTGGGGAGAGACTATGATCTTGTGGAGGTCACTCTGAAGCAGTTCTGTTATAACATATCTGAGGGGATATATAGGTCAAGGAATATATATATATCTGTATGCTTGAATATAAACAAATACATAAAACTGAACATGAAACAAATATACAAAGAAAACAAAATCGTTTGAAGTCAGATAATGCTATGGAAATCACGAGGGTTGATAATATGTAACCCTCGTATTTTAATATTGAAAAACATCTTAAGAGAAAAAAAATCATTGAAGAGATAAGCTTAAAATAAAGTATGGAAATGTCATAAAACAAACCCTCACTTTATAAAACAATAACATTAAATCATTTTAAATTCGCAACTCTTAAAACGTCAGCAGAAAACGGTTTTTCCAGGAAAAGCATCGGACCGGGTCTTTTCCTAAGCGTTATTTAATGTTTACATAATTCAATTAAATGACCAAATTGTAATTAGATCGACATTCGTACGACCTCTGTAACGAGATCGTAATTTTCCTATTTACATCATTATTGTCTTGAATCTACGGCATCATACCCTTCACTATTTGTTAATTTTACTGAGTGTTATTTAAATTAGCTACATAATATCTCAATTACGTTTGTAACAGCTCGCTATCTATAAGTGACATAATAATTATTATATTTCATTAGAAATTAATATAGCATTCAGATCTAATCATAACGTTCTGAATATTTTTCTTTTAAATAGATTAAATCGTTAATTTACGAATAAATATTTTATTTTACTAAACCAAGCTTTTAGGAAAATAATTTGTTAGCAGAATCATCAGTTATAGAATGTTTTAATAAATCCTTATTTGAACTAAATATGGAAGTTATATATATATATATCATTAATTATAATATAGTTTATTAAATATTAAACATGTCGATATTATCTCCTTATTCAACAATCCAAATGTGTCAACAGCAAAATCCTACCAATTAAGGATAAACAAAGGGACAATTTAACAATCAAACAAATGCTCTAATTAACACAAGCCCCAATTCCATGAGTTTGAAAGTACTTTCAGAAGTAGATGTGTTATCAAAATTACTGAAAATACTACAATACAAATCTTATTTATCACACTTTCAAGTGACCGATTTCAATGAAACGTTTTTTGGTAATATTAGGCAGAAAAATACTTGACCGATGTACGATGGAGATTGCAAATGCCGATGAAAAAATATTTTATATAATTCTAACATTATTTTATTTTATTATTTTCTGTATTCGCATTGCCCTGATGTTCTAGGTTATAATATATAAATATATATATTTTTTATTGAAGATTGTATGTAAAGAATTCAAATATATAACAAATTACAAAAACCTTAAGATGGTTCTAGTAAAGTAGCCAAAGTATTTTTTTTTTCTTGAAAAACGATTCAGATTCGTTTCTAATGTCGTTTAAAACTCTTAAATACGAATTTATTTTTAAATAAATAAATATTTGTAAATATTTGAACTCAATTTTATTAGAATTTTTTTTTTATGCCGTTTACTAAACGATTCATGATTATTAACGATTCTCTTTAGGATTGTTTTTCGAATTCAACGTTACGATAACCGTGGGAAAGCTGAATTATTGTTCTTCGAGACCACTTTAGATTTGGGACTATTGTAAGAAATAAATAAAGAAAACTCCCCAAAAGATTTTATCTTTTATCTCCAGTTATAAAATATATGAGCCTTTCAGATGACAGAATGACTAACTCCAATTTCAACATTTTTGATAATAATTTTAGTGATATATCAAGAGGAAACTTTCACAGTTCTATATTTCAATACTGCAATCACGTACTCTGGCATCAACTTACTCATTGTCTGTACAGGTATAAACAATTTTCCAACTAGAAATGTCACTGAAATAAAATGACAACTGAAAGATTCATATAAGGGGATCTCCGGGTGCTATTGCGGTCCTAAATCCATACTAATTTTTGTGCGGATAGTTAGAATATACCAACATAACAGCTGATAGTATGGCAATATAATTTTTTTCTATACCAGGCGAGTATTAAAAATTACATTAGGTCTCTAGGGCGACTTGGTACGAACCCTTAGCCATAGGTATAATATTTTTCTACCTAGTATCACAAAAATATCGGTTTCATCGGAATCGATGACCCAACGTTCATAGATAGCTGTTCGTATGGTTAAGGAAGTTACAGAAGTTTTTATATATATTCTAACCTTCCAAATAAATTCTCGTTCTAAAAATTAAATAAACCTCAAAATGAATTTATATTCAAACTTGTACCAAAAATATTTAGACTTAATTAAAAAAAATATTACTAGTTCCTTTGAACATTTAAATTCATAGTTTGAAAAAATATGAACTAATTAATAATTAAGGATGTAAGATATATATATATATATATATATATATATATATATATATATATATATATATATATATATATATAAATATATATATATATATATATATATATATATATCCCTTTTTTAATTTGGTTTTATATTTCTTCAAGAATGGTAGTGCACACAACTTTGGGTAAGTAATTCGATACCAGATCCAGACCAGCTGGACGATGGAGAAAAGGGACAGACCATTTTCTGAACCGCATCCCTCGTTTTTAGAGTTGTTCGGCCTTTTTTTTTTTTTTTTTTTTTTCCACCCGGCACTGATGGACCAGGCAAAAACCCGGCGGCTATAACCCGCGTGTTCTCGTCGGAATCGGATTCCCTAATCAGAGTTTTACTTTTTCATCAGGGGCGGTTCGTTTGCGACGAGGATTGGATGGGCGAGGGTGGAAAAACAGACCCCTTTCAGAGAAAAATCATACTTCACAAGACGAGGAGCTCTGGCCTAAGTCAATGTTTGCTGAGGGGAACTTTGGTAATTAAAAGTTGGAGTAATATTCTGTATCTATGACCGGAATCAAGAGAGACTTATATGTTGCGAAGGCCTGCCCAAACAATTTCAACGATAAAGTTAACCAAGAAGGAGGATAATTGCTTACTGCAAGTTAGTTGTGCAATATATGAAAACCTTGATATACGTTTCGCTATTACTTTTTCAATAACCTTTATTTTCAACGATCATTCATTTGGACTTTTTTTTTTAAATATATATTTTATTTATAAACAAAGTATTACTCCGCGGTATAAACACCTTTTTATCAAATTATTATAGCATTTTTATCTGGAGTTCGGTAAACTTTGTTTATTTAATTAGGCACTCAAAACTCATATATATCCATTTGTTTCCACTTGAATCGTAAGATAATATGATCGCAAAATAAAATAAAAAGCTGGCCTACAAAAATATTAATCCGTTTGGCCTATATAACCTCGCTATTTAGACATTTTGGGGGTAGAGGTTACGCTTAACGGGTTAATATTTTTATAGACCACATTTTTATTTTATTTTTCGATCATATTATCTTACGAATTCCGTGAATTTTCGTAAATAAAATGTTTTTAGGAGGCTACGGTGAGATTAAGCAATTTACGAAGTTTCAGGCGGGTGTTAATGATTTGATAAAAAGGAGTCTGTACAACGGACTATATTCAAATATATAAAAAAAAACGAAATCATTCCGCCTAAAAGGTTGAATGTACCAGACTAAAGTTTTAGAAAATATATATTTTTTTTTTTTATTAACGAAATTTACAACTGTAATTAATAATAAATACAACAAGTAAATATGAACAAGTAATATGACATGTACAACATGAGGAGAAACTACCCATTGCTAGCACTCCAATTATATTTCTATATTAGAAGGTCCCGAGGCCATCTTCTTTTTAGACGCCTCGGAGGGTTATCAGGAAGAGGAGAGGAAGCAAGGTTGGAAACGAGAGGGTTCGGATGGTTCAGAAGTTTATTATGAAAGTACAGGTATCTGGATTGAGCTAAATCGGAAACATATGGTACATTAAGGTCATTATGGATGATTTTATTTGTGACAAAGTAGGGAGCATTAAGAATTTTACGAAGGATTTTGGATTGTAGGAATTGGATACGAGAGGAATTTTATGGTTTAGTAGAGCCCCAAAGCTCGACCCCGTAAGTCCAAATAGGCCTTATTATAGTAAAATATATGAGTCTTTTGTAAATAGTTAGCAGTTTAGAGCGTTTGTCTAGTAAGTGCTGGAGTAGTCGGAAACGTCGGGCGGTTTCTAGTCATTTCAGTCTGGTATGGGGGTTCCAAGGGAGTCGTTTGTCTAGGTGGAGTCCTAGGTATCGGATTTGGTCAACAGGGATAAGTGGGGTATTGTTAAACTATACTGTAGGACAGGAAGTCAAAATCTTAATAAAACTGACTGCATCCTGACTATCTGCCATCAAAATAAAACATGTTATTTAATTATGATTTAAAATATAATATAATTGCTTTAGATTATTTTACGTATTGCGTAATTGTATACAATTAAAATGAATAATTAAATTGCTGTATTATAACAAACAAGAAGTATTTTCCTATGAAAAATGATATACCTATGACGAGATTACCACGACTTTTCTTTCAGCTTACTGTTTTTCCAGACTAACCCTGAGCTAAAGGAGAGTCGATAATTCTTGTCCACTCGAGCCGGCTTCAAGGTCGATCGATTCCTTCCTTGGACCGAGGTCCAACCCCAACCCTGTTGCTTCCACCACCTTGAACCCAAAACTTGTTACAGCGGGAAATCGGTGGCAAAGTGGAAGAAATAAATATTGGATCTGGATGGCATTGAAGTAATTAATATTTGAAAAAATATATACCTGCGCGTGTTTATGTGTTTATATAATTATATGTGAATTTAAAGAAAATTCACAACTTCAGCGAATCTATAAGAACTCAGCGATACCCTAAAGTTCGATGTGTTGTGTCCACAGGCGGATTTACGGGGAGGAGGGGAGAATAGAGGGCTTTCGGGCTGAAGCCTCCCTCCCCCCAAAATCTTTAAATATAACCATGTTTTATGAATTATTTATTAAAGTATTATTGTTATAAAGTATTACATTTAATAGAACTTAAAGAATCAATTAAACATCGTTTCATATAGGTACTTAGTTTCTTTCTTTCTTCCGAAGTAATTATCGTAATATATACATTAAAAAAAAAATTCTTTCCCAAAATTAAATCCTGGATCCGTTAGTGGTTGTGTCAACAACTGACTCTCGTCACGTATGTTGACGTTATTTCTCCCATATTCTTAAACTTGTTATCATCCTAATCTCACTATCCTTTTATCGTTCCAAGCACCTATATAAATCGCCTCGAAGTTTGAAACGGTAGAAGCCCCGAAATATTTTTTATTATTATTTTATGATATTAAAGTTCTGACAATGGTTAGGTTCTACACTCAATTATTAAGAGCAACTAAACCTGGATCGAGGTTACTTAGGCTGAATGTAAATATTGAGTCAGTATAAAATTATTTTATTTTTCTCTAAAAGTTTATATTATTTATCTCGGTTATATAAATTATGCTGTTTGTAATTTAATTGTATTAAAAGCGCTCATACCTACTGTCCTTGAATGTAGGAAATTGCATTATTATTCTTACATAAAAACAATTTGAAAAAAATTGTTATAGATTTTAAAGTATAATGATACAATTAAAAAAAAAATACACGACTTCACAAGTAAAACGATGTATGTAAATATATAACGATTACAAAATATAATGATGTAGAGTTGGTTTACCGTGATATAATATGAGAAGGAGTTGATCGAGAGGTGCAGTCAAATAAAAACTAAATTATAAAAATGGCATTATTAATTTATTTCGCTGACGTTTCGACACACCTTGAAGGTCATCAGGGCTACAAAAGATACAACATATAAAAGGTAAATGGTGAAAATAAAATAGATGAAAGTAAAGCAGATATTAAATAAGATAGATATTAAAATTATATATATATATATATTAAATAAAATAAATTTATTAAATTTATCTTATTATTTCTTTATCAGACAACTGTTTCTTATTTAATATCTACTTTACATTCATTTATTTAATTTCCACCATGTATCTTTTATGTTTTGTATCTTTTGTAGCCCTGATGAAGACCTGCAAGGTGGGTTGAAACGTCGGCGTAATTAATTAATAATAATATTTTTATAGTTTAGTATTTATTTGACCGCACCCCTACTCTCACCGATCAACTCCTTCTTGACCTTGACTCTTGACCTTGCTTGTGTTATTGTAATTATTCAATAAAACAATTTTTTATAAAAACGAGTCTATTACTTGTTTTATACGAGAAAGGAAATATGTACGTGTATCGAGATCACAAAAACAGGAAAATACAAATACATTTTGTCATCAGTACATTTTTGTATATCTTGTATACTAAACTTTTTTTTTCTTGTTCTCTCCTACCTCGCCTTTTTAGGCTATACGGGGATTTTCCCGGGCCAGGGGATACGGGCGGGAAATTTAAAAGACCCCTAGTCACTCGGACGCGAACTCGTAATTTTATTGTCTTCAACGTTGGTTAACAGGTTGCCAGGAAACGCGCGGTGCTGAACACACACGTTAGCCCGTTCGGCTACCCCTTTTCCGAATATTAAACTTATAAAGCGAGTATAATTTAACCCGAATAGTGAATTTAATCCCCATTGTAAGGTATGTAACACCTGTTCTTCCATTAAAATCCCCACTCTCAGAGCGGGCGAAGCAAATGGAATTAAACATATAGGATGCGGCTGTTGGTGGAACTGCTGCCGTTTTGAAATTCAAATACACCGGAGCGGCAGGCGGGGAGGAAAATGGCCGCCCGTGCCAGTTGAGAAAAGCTTTCAGGATAATTGTGTTAAGGAGAAAAGTATTGACCTCGTTCTAATCAGCTGACGATCCGAGGTGGCGGAGGGAGGGGGGTTGGAGTTAAGGAAAAATGGTTTCCCATTAAGGGCGAAAATTTCATCCCCCCTTTGTTTTTTATCTCCGTTGGGATCGAATGACAGTCTCCCTAACTCTCAAGAATCTTCAAACTACGGCCCGCGAACGTTTCTTCGATTATTAAATGGTAAAATTTTAAAATTATTTAAAAGATATGTAATTATATAAATCCCTCAAACACAAAGTTACTACAACATTTATTACTCTTATATAGCTCATTTCCCAACTGGTCTGTGTATTTATAGAACAAGTTTTTTTTTTTTTTTTTTTCAACAAAAACCTTTGGTGAAGTTCTCAATTTAGCCCGCGGGCCAAAAAGTTTTGAGATACTTAAAATTACATGATAAAATAATTATGAGTTCGCCTCCGCGTTCTGAGAGCTTTGGACTCTAATATTAATCCTCCACCTTCTCTCCTAGTCCGAAAAAAAGCAGAGCGGGCTGACGCGTGTGAAAAATACACGTAGGCCTGAAAAAAATCGAAGGTTAAGAGTTCGCATTTCGGAGTTGAGAGTTATTTAACTACGACATTAATCCCTCACCAACACCTCTGTCCCGGAAAAAAACAGAAAATGCTATAAAGGAGAGAAAAAGAAAGTATAAAAAAACGTGTCCTCTGAATATTCATAGTAAATAATTCCATTATTTGAGTATTCACTATAGATTGGCCTTCAATAGGTAAATTTGTGTCAAATAAGTAGATATTTTAGAAAAAAAAATTAAATTAATCCATCCGGAAGAAGAAGAAATTTTGGTAAATTACCATCCTGCCTAGTTTTAATAAAATAATAATTTATCAAAAGAAAAACAAATTGAAACCAGAGGAAGGCTGATATTTTAATAAACTACCTAAATTGATGGTTGCTGATTAGTGAGAAAGGCATGAATCTTAATCTAAAAGTTAAACCCAATTTTCAATTACCGAAGTAATTATTAATTTCAGAGTATCGTAAAGACAATTTACTCTATAAAAAGTTTTCTTCAACATGAACATCGAAATGATAGCGAATAGTTTTCTCTTCATGTGTTTATAATAAATGTTTACAAAAGTTTAATTCAATTAGTATACTCTAATGAGAACTCTCACATTAGCTAACTATCCTTCTACCGCAAATAGATATGTTTTTTATTTATTAAAAATATCTACAAAATTCTTTTAGATCTTCTATCCGAAGTGCCCAATGGATCCAATGGATAGGTCCAAATGGCCTTCAGTAAGCAATTATATGTATTCAATTTCTTTATAAGTTTTAATTTAGAATTTCTTGAAAGGAGTGAGAATAATAGTCTCAGTCTTAGATTTAGTGTTTTTGTTTAGTTCTTAATATATTGTGGACCTCATTGTCATTCTTCTGTCAAACGTCAGTCCGAAATACTGAACTTTATCTGGCGGAGGAATTTGGAAATTGTAGAAGTAAATAGGAGAATTTTAAGTTTCACGATACATTCATGGAAAATAACTTTTTGTTTTGTTTAAATGTTTGATTCTCGTTACATGAAATCAAAGATATTATTAAATGGATCTTGGTATCTTTGAGTTAGAGGTCAATACTAATAGGTGTCGGAATATGATCTACTGATCTTTATATAACTACTTGGCAAACAGGAATAGAGAAAAATAAAATGAAACTTCTCCGTCTCATAACAAAATATACAATATTATCTCTCTATTACGCCAACAAAAGGAAAGGATTCATACAATCGGAATCCACACCTTACATTCTTATCCTAAGAAGTCATAAGCTATCAAGAGCTTTTAAATCCTATACAAGAGTTGTACTCTGATGAAATGCACGGAGAGATCTAGCGTCCTTGAAGACACGGCGGTCTCTTTGGCCTTCCACTTCTTGGTTTCTTATCGGATACCGAAGAGTGGTAAGAACATCGGGTCTAAAACGACCTTATCACCAATCTCGATGTCAGGCCTTCTCACTCGAAGCTTTTTGGGTTTCGTAAGTATCCTTATATCTCCATTTCTGGGAACATAGCTGGGTAGTTAACGCATCTGAGCAACTACATACTCTAAAGACTCGAAGTACATTTTCTACTTCAACCAACCTCTTTCTTTGCGAGATATGAATATATCAGCAGCAGAAAATAACTAACATAACTTATCTAACGATTAATTCTTCCAGAGATGAACTGTAGGTAAGAATATTTTCTTTAAGGAATTTATATAGTTCTATAATATAAATTCTATATATAAATTCTAATCATCGTCAAACAACTTCTTCACATTATTCATTTGTTTTTAATATTATAAATGCCAAAATTCCAATAATTTACACACCATATGCGGCAAGTAATCCAGGTTTCCGATTTTAAATCAAATGGAATTTTAGGAGACAAGAGTGGTGGTCACCATTGTGTTCGAACTGCCAGATTTGTCAGGCAATCAATTTATTTCTGGATGAGTGGATTATGAGAGCGTCAGCAGAACCTCAAGTTCCATTGAGGGCGGGGTGGCGGAATGGGCTAACACGTGTGCACAGTTGCCCAGCAACCAGATAGCCGAAGTTTTGAGATTAAAAAAAAAGTACGAGTGCACGTCCCGGTGCCGGAGGGGATTTTAAATCCCCACCCTCACAACGGGAAAATCCCATATAGCCTAAAAGGCTAGGTAGAAAAAATAAACCTTAAACCTTGGTATACCAAGAAATGATTTTAAACTTGATATGTTCATCTTAATTACGGCTCTACCTCCTGATAAGCTAATTTGTTTTCTTTATACATAAAGATAAATAAAAAATAATTTAATTTCAATCTTTTTAAAATTTAAACATAGCAAGATGTATTGAAATATTATAGAGACAAAAACTATCCGCATCATAACCGGAGCGATCTGGGATAAGATTATATAGTATAACGCATGGAGGAAAAAAATAATAAAGAGCTGATGACAGAAACTGGCTAATCACTATTTCATGACTACAAGGCAAGAAGGTAAAGATGGGGGGGGGGGGGATATATAGTTCGGAATAACCAATCCATAACTGAAATTGGGTTGTTTTCGATATAAATCGGAAAGCAGATTTTACTTTGAGGGATCATTGTAATGTTAAATGTTAATGAATCGTAGGATTATATTATAATCTGAATAGAAATAGTCATAGAAATTCGATATTACAAATTAATTTCGTTATAATTATCTAATTTAACAACAAGTGGCTCATTAGAAAATAAAGCAGAGTAGGAATTGATATATTGAACACACAATAAGAGTGAATATATTCTAATTCGTTAAAATAAGCAGCGCTAATACTCCAAAATAAATATAGGAATCTCAAATTAGATTCTATAAATTATTATACCGGTAATAAAATAAGATAGTTTGGCGAAAACGGACCAAAATCAATTGAAATGTTTTCAGGCCCGACAATAACAAACACCACCCTCCAACCCCCATTCTGTTTCCCAGCAGATGATTGGACCATCACCACTGACGACTGTAATCAAATTACCGTCGGACCAATCGTAACCACGAGAGCAATCTGAATTCTGGTTCGTTACTTTTTTATAAAGTCCAACCAAGGCCTAATGACGTAAGCTAATGCTGGTGATTTGGTACCTCGCCGTGCCGCTGGAGAAAAAACCTCCTGGAGTAGAAGAATGTCGGCTGGAAGACCCGGTCAGGTACCTGGGAACCTGCTTCGCTTAGTCCCGACTCTTTGTGTCTTCTTCCCTCCTTCACTTTTATCTTTTCAATCGGGAGTTTAAGAACGAGGGTTTGCGAATATACCTTGACAATATATATTGTTCGGTAACACCAGCTTCGAACGTAGAAGAGAACAAAAAATAAACAATCGGGATTGAATCGAAATACATTTATGTATAGGTTATGATATAATTTTAACCAAATGGCATTACAGATCTCAATACATATTGACATACAATACATGTTGAAATCAAAGGTAAATTCGGTTCCTTCCATTGGATTTCATAATAAGTAAAAAAACTGTAATTATGTATTAGTCTATTAAGAATTGTATCTATGTATGTATATTTTATCATCCTAATATAGGAAATAATTATATTAATTGATCTTAATATAGAGTAAATTCTTACTCCCTCTCAAACAATTATATATTGGGCTCATAAATAATACAGTATTTTTCCATAGCGTTGCACGCAAGATTAATTACATAATTTTTTAAAAATAAATATATCGTGATAATGATTCTCATGGACCAACCAGTTTAACTATTTGTTTTTTTTTCATCTTGAACGGTTTGATTTCCAACAATTTAAAAAATATTATCATAATAAATAATAAGATTTATTTCATAAAATTATTAAAATAGCTATATGCATTTCTAGACAAAATAAAAATACATGAAATGTACTGATTCGGATATATCGTCTGTTTTTTTACAAAAAGTCTTTGTTTTTTTCCTCCTGAAATTTTCCTTGGAATCATGCAACCAAATTTGATAGATAATCAATGATTAATGATTATCTATCAAAATTGCCATTTTGAAATTCACAAGACCGTTCTTTAAAAGTTCAGCTCCAACAAAAATGTATTTACATTGGCTGTCTAACATTGAATTTGGAAAAAAAAATTCTGAAAAATTATAAATGCTATAGTTATCGGCTGGAAAAAAAAATCCTTCAAGAAAATCAAGTATTAATTTTTTCAATTTTAGATTACTATAAAAATTCATATTTAAGAGTACCAAAGGACACTAAAATCAAATCTAACTTGCTTTTTCGTAATAAAATTTACTTTCCCTACTTTACTATATGGGTTTTTTGGTTTTTGTAATTTGTGCTATATTAGAACTCATTTAATACCATAGCCAACATTTTATTCTTCCGGAAAATCCGGGAAAAGCGAAAATAAATAATATAAATTTTGATTAAAATTATATATTTTTTAACGAACGAACGTCGAGACATGTGTCAAATATTTTTTTATGTAGTATCACCGAAAAAAAATTGGTTGGAATTGGTGACCCACGGACTGTAGCCACACCTGGTTAGTGACTATGTGCAATAAACTTACGATATACGAATAATATAAAACAGCAATAATGAAATATAAATTATTTATGTATAAGCAAAATTTGAAAAAAAAAAAAATATATCGTTGAGTATAATCAGAATCCAGTCCCGAAAGCCAAAATTACAGGTTGTAAGGAACCACGCATCCTTGGACAACACACACCTCATTAGTCCAACTAACATCATGGTGGCGAACTAGGAAGGCCTTGAACCTCGAGAGTTTTTGTAGTCCTTAAGACCTTTTTCTTCTTGGAGGAGGGAGGACAGATGGAAATGGACGATGAACCTCGGAAGAAGGGTATCGAGTCCCGGAGTCCTTGGCGTGGGCGGGAAGAACCGGTCGGTCCGGTCCGGTGCCTTACTCCTCACTATAGGACTCACTATAGGGGAGGGAACTCTCTACATATAGAGTGCTCATTAGCTATATAAATGGGCCTATATACTCGCCCATATTATATAATGTTTCCTTATCTATCGCGGCTAATATACTGAATACATAAATAAAATGAGGAGGGAATAGTTCCAAATTGCAAGAGATATTTGTCAAAACAAAATGCTACTAAAATAAACATAAGTCACATTTGATGATGAGTCAGAACCTATTGAATTTAAAATATGAAATTGACCGAATAGTAGTCGGGATAAAATAAAAACAAATTAACATTTAAATTTATGGACGACCAAAAATAATAATGTACGATATTCTTTAATAATATATATGTTTTTCGCTAGATCGTATTTTTAAGTGGTTTCAAGTTAAAAAAATAATTTTGGTTAAGGCTGTTACACAATTATGTTAATGATAATTTTTAATTCATAATAAGTGATGGTTGAAAAAAAAATCTTTTATTTGTGTGCGTTGATAAAGTTTTTATATAATTATAATATTGTTATATAAAGTTACATATATTATTTTATAGACTTAAAAATGGGTGGATATAGCCTGAAACGTTGATATGTATTAGAGTGCAGTGAAGTAATTTAAGCAAAAAAAGATTTAATTTATTCCTCGGTATAGTAAATTTAAATTGAAAATTAATATATCATTTTGAAATATAATAGTAGAAATTTTATGAGAAACTATGTACGATATGAAAGAAAAAAAAAAGACTAGAGAAAACAATAACTAGAGAAAATAACACATATTAAGTAAATAAATATTAAATCAATATTTAAAAAAAATATATTCCATTTTAAAGTCTAAAATAATAAAGGAAATTTAATCTAATGGTGGATACATTATTGACTGCAGATGATATAATTGGAAAGTTAGTTTGGGTTCGGGTGTAGTCACAATGAGAAACGCAAATAAAAATTTAGAAAAATAAAATAATTACAAAAATTTTTAGGAATAGACCTTCCATAGACAAAACCTATGCTCTGAGTAGAATGATCAATACAGCGCTTGGTCGGTATGAGTTGTCTGTTGTAGTCTGACAGACCTCACATACAGTGGACGGCCACTCATCCAAGTACTTACCACGTTGAACATAGCTTAACTACAATAACTTATTGCAAACAGCCATCCGGGCCTCTTAAAAATTGTTAGGCAAATATTAAAATCTTAATGAAATTCATGAGTTTAAACACAGATTCAATGCTACGTGGAGTTTGAAAACCATATTTATAATCGATTAATAACTGGAAAATTATAAAGAACAAAGAAGATATTTCTCGGACAAAAAAAAAAAGAAGAAAAACACAGACGGTAGAAAACAGGATAAATCCTTACAAAATGTAACAATAGACTTCTACAGGCCAAAGAATCATTTCAAGGTTATGTGTTTCGCCGCCCATAATATAATAATACGTTACGAATCGCCATGTGACTCATATCAGGGTAAAAAGTATGCCTACATACATGACCTTAAGTATAACTGAAATATTTTATTGCTTTATTTATATTTTAGAATTATGCTGATTTCTATTATAAATAATACAGATAAATTAATAATGTCAAGATTTTAAGGATTTTTGAAAAATATAATTAGAATTTTAATAACAGGTTTCTCAAGACTATTGAGATTTTTTTTCTCTTGGTTTTATTCCATAAGCAAAATTATAAATCTCGAGTACAATATTGAACCTATTAGCATTATTAACAACCGATCGACTAATTATTTTTTTTATTTAAATATAACAATATAACTACAACGTTTAACACAGACTTGAAACCTTGTACTAAAGATGGGGGCTCAGATCCAACGAGAGAACCCGAGTTTTTCACGAAATAAATTTAAATTAGGAAACCCTACAGCTGTCTGGCTCAACATGAAGAATAACCCCTTCCTTCGCAGGACATAAAACTCGCGGCCATTTTTCATCCCCTTCGTAAGGTAACAAAATATTTTAATAGCCCTCTGTTGCTAAATATAAAAACATGGTGTTCTAACTGTATGGAATAAAGATTTAAATTCCAATATGGTTTTTGAAGTTCTTCGAAGAAAAATATATATGTCTATGACGAACGTAGATAAAGTTTGTGTACATTATTTCCCTCTTCGTAGAAATTAGTCGGAGATCATCTTATAATTCTTTGAATTTGTAGCAATTAGTCATTAAAAATAGTTTTTAATTTAAAAATATTAGTATATTACTGCACAAATATTTATATTTTTCAACACTGCAAATACCTACTCTGGGATCATAATACTAACTGTCTGTACAGATATTATAAATTTTACAACTAGAAATATCACTAAAATGACTTCACTCAAAAATGTTGGAATTATAGTCAGTCATTCTGTCAACTAAAAGGCTCATACATAAATTTAAAATGTACTGAATATAGGGCAGTATGGTACGACTAAGGTCGCAAATCAGAGTGGGCGAAATACACATTGGTCCATGATGACACACCAAGAAGATACAGGTGGATCCTATACGAATACACTGCAGTCTGTATGAAACTGGACAGTATCCAAATCTGAAGATTGAAGAGCATCTTCAGTCGATTTTTTTTTTAAACTTTTATTATGATATTACAATTGTATTAGTATGAATACATCAAGTAAATGTGTACAGAGGAATAAAATAACATGAAACACGCTTGTTGAGAAACTACCCATTGGTAGCACAATCGATTTTAAGATAGGGTCAGATATCAATAATATGATTACACAGAATGATGACTACTTTAAATAACTTGGAACTGAATAATGGAACCCTCAGGGATGAAGTGAACACGAATGAGTCATTCTTGAACATAAAAAAAAAAAAATCAGTTAAACAAAAGAAAAACTTTTTACGATTCGCTGTGATCAGTTCTCCTTCCGGTGTTTTAAAGAGAACAATTTCAAACCTATATATACATATATATATATATATATATATATATATATATATATATTTTTTTTTTTTTTTTTTTTTTAAGGAAGCTAGTCGACTGTTCTACATGTCATGGGTGATAAATATTCAGGACGCAGTTATTATAAAAATATTTTATTTGTGCCGACGTTTCAACCCAAAAATCATCAGGGCGTGGTTCGAGC